AATTGTTTTAGGAAAAATTATCCAACTTAGAGTGTAAAAAAATGACCTGGAAAAACCCTATCAGAAATTTGGGAACAAAAAAGAAAACACGAAAATGAAAAAAAATTTAGCAAAATCAGTAAACCCCCAAACTCCCCCCAACGAAAAAAGCAAAAAAACTAAAATGATTTTTCTCCACTAAGGAAAAAACCTTCCCAAATAAAACCCAACTCAGATACCCCACCCAAAAAACCTACCGGGAATACCCCCAAACACTGTTCCTACTCCGACAACCCAACGAAGTCTCCCTTTTTTACAAAACCCCTAAAAAAACAAGGAAGGGGGATTTAAATTACCTACCCCCTTTTTTATACAAAAAGTGTACAAATGCTATCACCAATCATTTCAACACTCTTAACAAATCCATTGAAACCTCCCCCTTTCCCCACAGTACTCAAAAAAGCAAGGGGCAAACCCCCACCACAAAGGAGGAGACCCAAAAAGCGAATAAATTAGGCCAATATCCAACTTACACCCCCTCTCAAAAATCTTTGAAAAATTTAATTCATAAAAGAATCTACTCCTACCCTTTTTCCCAAAACATTCAAACCCCCGCCATTTGGATTTAGCCTAATAAAAAAACTAATGATGCATTTAACATGCTAGAACAAATTTCCTGCAAAGAGAAAAAAAAAAAATCCCACTGGGGATCTTCATTTACTTACGTAAAGCTTTTGATACAGTTGACCTGACTTGCTCCAAAGTAAAATTGTCACACTATGGTATAAAGGGACTCCCTCAAAACCTCAAATCTTACCTCAGCAACAAACCTATGGACGCAAAAGGGGGAAGCTCTTCCGCACAACCAATTACAGTTGGGTCCCCCAGGAAGGTCCTTGGCCCCCCTTTTCCCTTTCCCCCTATAAAATACCTACCAAATGTTCCAATTTTTTCAAAACCCACATATTTTTTCAATGACCCTACAACGTCTTCTCCCACCCAGCCCCGCACGCTAGAATCTGTTGTAAAACCGAATTACAGAAAATATCTGCCTGGATGAGGACTAACAAACTTACACTAAACATTGGGACAAAACCTACTTCATTCAGTTTGGTAACAGAGCTACAGATGTCCTCTTAACATAATGATAACGGATCACCTATCACAAAGCTAACAGAGGGAAAATTCTTAGGAATACACCTTGATAATAGACTCAAATTTCATACACATATACAACAAATTTCTAAGAAAATTTCCAAGACTGTAGGCATACTATCGAAGATACGGTACTAATGCTCCACAGTCAGCCCTCCTGGCCCTATATCACTCTTATTTACCCCTATCTCACCTATGGAAATTTGTGCATGGGCTCAACAACAATTAACCATCTCAGACCACTAATTACCCAACAAAAGGCTGCAGTTAGAATGATGATAAATTCTCACTACAGGCAGCACACTCCACCAATATTCAATACACTAAACCAAACTCACCATTACAAAACATCCATACTTATTACTGCACCTTTTACATACATAGAACACTTAACTCTGATATTAACTCTCCCCTCAAACATCTCCTTGCCAACCTAAACAGAACACATGACCATAACACAAGGCACAGATCACTCTTTGATGTTCCTTGTGTCCATCTCACACTATGCAAAAACTCAATGCACATAAAAGGCCCTAAAATCTGGAATTCATTACCTGTAAATATAAAAGAAACACTACCTGTTTATAAATTCAAGTCTCTTCTCAAAGATCACTTACTCACCCAAAACCAAATAAATACTGAATAACTGAACCTTATAAATTGTATATCTTAAATGTTTCTCACAATTATATCACATAAATGGAGCGAAACAGAATGACTTCAAGAGTTTATCAGTCTGTAGTGGAAGGAAGGCGGGGTAGGGGTCGGCCTAGGAAAGGTTGGAGAGAGGGGGTAAAGGAGGTTTTGTGTGCGAGGGGCTTGGACTTCCAGCAGGTATGCATGAGCGTGTTTGATAGGAGTGAATGGAGACAAATGGTTTTTAATACTTGACGTGCTGTTGGAGTGTGAGCAAAGTAACATTTATGAAGGGGTTCAGGGAAACCGGCAGGCCGGACTTGAGTCCTGGAGATGAAGTACAGTGCCTGCACTCTGAAGGAGGGGTGTAAATGTTGCAGTTTAAAAACTGTAGTGTAAAGCACCCTTCTGGCAAGACAGTGATGGAGTGAATGATGGTGAAAGTTTTTCTTTTTCGGGCCACCCTGCCTTGGTGGGAATCGGCCAGTGTGATAAAATAATAATAAAAATGTTAAACCTAAAACCGAATCTAACTTTATTATTTTTTAAATACACTACCTAACAGAATACTCCATACGACTGAATGTACAACAATGCATGCAACCATATGACCTGTCTTTGTAATACTCACTTGTGCTTTATAGTAATCTGTTTACATTAATGTTTTATCACTGATTTCATCATTGCTTAGTTAATCTTAAGTTAATTTTAAGCCAGCCCGTAATGCTATGCATAGTATAAGTGGCTTTGGCATGCTGCTCTTATCTGTATTTTTTTGTACCTCTGTATGTGTGCTCAAACTGTAAATACATCCTGGCCAGTTCGGCCACACTTAAGCCACTTTCATATTGTTCAATGATGTTTTTCTTAAATTCAATTGTATTTCTCACCTTCTTTACCAAAGGTTTGGCACTAGGAGCTTTCTTTGGAGCCATGGTAGCTTATTTAGTACTTGCAAGTACTATAATAAAAGGAATTCACCTACTATCCGACTTATGACCGAGTTCGGTTCCGAGAAACTGGTCCTATGTCGAAATGGTCGTAAGTCGAACTTTACTACTGAATATCAACAAAACATTTTTGTAATGACTATTTTATTGTTTTATTTTGGTATTTCATGTTTTACTTTACTTTTTATGTTGTTAGTACTGTACTGTTAGTACTGTAAGGTTTAGGATAAACACTGTGTACAACACAAATAGTTGTTTATTTCCCAGAAATTTGGCATAAAAACATGGTCATAAATCAAGTGGTCGTAAGTCGAGCAGGCCGTAAGTCGGATGGTAGGTGTATTTTTTTTTATTTTTTTATTATCACACTGGCCGATTCCCACCTAAGGCAGGGTGCCCCGAAAAAGAAAAACTTTCACCATCATTCACTCCATCACTGTCTTGCCAGAAGGGTGCTTTACACTACAGTTTTTAAACTGCAACATTAACACCCCTCCTTCAGAGTGCAGGCACTGTACTTCCCATCTCCAGAACTCAAGTCCGGCCTGCCGGTTTCCCTGAACCCCTTCTTTAAATGTTACTTTGCTCACACTCCAACAGCACATCAAGTATTAAAACCATTTGTCCCCATTCACTCCTATCAAACACGCTCACGCATGCCTGCTGGAAGTCCAAGCCCCTCGCACACAAAACCTCCTTTACCCCCTCCCTCCAACCTTTCCTAGGCCGACCCCTACCCCGCCTTCCTTCCACTACAGACTGATACACTCTTGAAGTTATTCTGTTTCGCTCCATTCTCCCACATGTCCGAACCACCTAAACAACCCTTCCTCAGCCCTCTGGACAACAGTTTTGGTAATCCCGCCCCTCCTCCTAACTTCCAAACTACGAATTCTCTGCATTATATTCACACCACACATTGCCCTCAGACATGACATCTCCACTGCTCCAGCCTTCTCCTCACTGCAACATTCATCACCCATGCTTCGCACCCATATAAGAGCGTTGGTAAAACTATACTCTCATACATTCCCCTCTTTGCCTCCAAGGACAAAGTTCTTTGTCTCCACAGACTCATAAGTGCAACACTCACCCTTTTCCCCTCGTCAATTCTATGATTCACCTCATCTTTCATAGACCCATCCGCTGACACGTCCACTCCCAAATATCTGAATACATTCACCTCCTCCATACTCTCTCCCTCTAATCTGATATCCAATCTTTCATCACCTAATCTTTTTGTTATCCTCATAACCTTACTCTTTCCTGTATTCACCTTTAATTTTCTTCTTTTGCACATGCTACCAAATGGTAGGTGTACGTATTATGAAATATTTCGTAGGAGCAAGTGAGGGGACCGTCACTCACTGGTAAACAATGCCACACTGGCTGGGAAGGGAGGCCGCCCCGGCTCACAGCGCGCGTACACGTCCCGGATGAACTACTATTCGCTAGTCAATCTACGATTAGCGAGCCCATGTTTATATGAAAATATCGACATGATTTCCGAAATCTACAACTCTCAAGCCCTACGATTATCGAGAGACCACTGTACCTCCCTGGGTGGTTGCTGTCTACCAACCTATCACTATGTCACCCCATTTACATCCCACATTACTATTATTATTGTTCTTTGAACGTATGAGCCGTATTCCACTGAGGCAGGGTGGCCCAAAAGGAAAAACAAAAGTTTTTACTTTCAAATTTAGTCATGTATACAGGAGAAGGGGTTACTAGCCTCTTGCTCCCGGCATTTTAGTCGCCTCTTACGACACGCATGGCTTACAGAGGAAGAATTCTGTTCCACTTACCCATAGAGATAAGAGGAAATAAACACGAACAAGAACTAGAAAGAAAATAGAGAAAACCCAGAGGGGTGTGTACATATATCCTTGTACATGTATGTGTAGTGTGACCTAAGTGCAAGTAGAAGTAGCAAGACTTGCCTGAAATCTCGTATGTTCAATAGACAGAAAAAAAAAAGACACCAGCAATCCTACCAACATGTAAAACAATTACAGGTTTTTCATTTTACACTCGCTTGGCAGGACATTTAGTACCTCCCTGGGTGGTTGCTGTCTACCAACCTATCACTGTCACCCCATCTACATCCCACATTATTATTATTAATTATTATTATTGTGGCTACTTTTATAATTACCATTATAATTATTATTATTCATTATTTATACACCTTGACATAAGGTACCAGTAAGAGGTCATTACTCAATTACCTGATATCTGTATTGCTGACTCCAGCTTCGGTACAGGTTCACCTACTGGCCAGGTCTCCTGGTTCATATCAAAACTCTGTCGACCAGATGAAAGTGGTCGTACAATGTTGGGTCCGGCACTCTGGAACCTGGGACTGACTTTCTCACCCAGGAACCCCACCACTGTCTGAAAGTCGAATACATCGGAGCTGTAACACATGCTATATGGGTTTTAAATAGTTTCTTTGGTTACTACCATGAATTCTACCGTTTCTTACAGCTGGGCTTTAAGTAATAATATATCACAAGAACCACAATGGAAATAAGTCACTTGGCTGGCTTTTTTTGTGTTGTAACGGTGAAGAATTTACACGTTACTTTTTTTTCAACACATTGGTTATGTCTCACTGAGGCTAGGTGACCTAAAAAGAACAAAAGATTTTCTTTTTAAAATTAGTAATTTATACAGAAGGGGTTACTAGCCCCTTGCTCCTGTATTTTAGTCGCTTCTTACAACATGCATGTCTTACACATTACGATGTGTGATAATTGTACATACGTGTACCTGTACTTAGAGTTACTAAATTACTTAGATGACATTCTACATCAATAATTGAATGGAAAGATTGTTTTTTTTAGGAGGAGAGGAGTGAGAAAAGAGAGAAGACGTAGGGAAGGGGGAGGGAAAAGTGAGGAGGGTGTACAGGAAGGATAATGAGAAGGGAAGGGAGATGAGAGATAGGAAGAGGAGAATTAAGGTATAGAGAAGTGTAAGGAGACTGATCCCAGGTCTCCGCCTGTTCCGGAAACTGAACTCTGGTCCCTTGACCTTAGAGTCCAGTACTCTACAGTTTTAGGAGATCTTGATCTTGTGGAGGACAGAGACAGTAAGAGACTGTCAGTACTAACCTTATAGAACAGAGAGACGGCTAGAGACTTGCGGTACTCTGGCGAAGCATCTTGTGGATGGCTGTCTGGTATTATCTCCCTCTCCATAATCTTAGCAGCATCCAACAGTGTCTTAACATCACTCACTTTCTTGTTAAGCAAGAAATTCTCAGTCTTGGCAGCATGTATCTGTTAATATATGTATCTCTCCTTATACGTATCTTAGTATGTACATACATGTATATGTATCTCAGTATATCTGTTGGTGTATGTTTCTCTCAGTATATCTGTGAATATATGTATCCAGCCTTCAGACATTGCCAACAAACTTAATTTCTTCTCTACTGTAGGATTAAATCAAAAGACCTGCAAAAACCCCTCACAGTTGTAAACATCTACAGAGTACCACAGTCAAACATTTATCACTTTAGTGAAAAAATAGGAAACATGATTACTGATGCACACATGAATAAAGACCACCTACTACTAACAGGAGATTTCAACAAACATACTACATGACCAGGACCCATAAGTAACCAAATTCACAAACACAATGAGTAACTGCCTGTTGCTACGAGCAATATCTAAACCTACAAGAATCTCCGAGACAAGCATCTCCTTAAGATATCTTGACATGTCACATAGTTATTATACTGTGTCTCTGTATTCCTCAATAAGTGGACAATTAAGCACATAGTGTTCAAGATGTGACCATATGTCTGATCACATAATTTACATTTAGTTTGATCATCATCTGTGTCTCCCCCAAACTGCCAGAAGTACTTGTAACCAAGCCTAAGTCTGGCCACTACAACATCAGTCAGTACTTGTAACCAAGCCTAAGTCTGCCCACTACAACATCAGTCAGTACTTGTAACCAAGCTAAGTCTGGCCACTACAACATCAGTCAGTACTTGTAACCAAGCCTAAGTCTGGCCACTACAAAAATCAGTCAGTACTTGTAACCAAGCCTAAGTCTGGCCACTACAACATCAGTCTGTTCACATTGCACGTTGCTCCATAAACATACTTATCTATGTTCATGTTATCATAGTGGGTTATAGATCTACTCAGGCTTCTAACTGCATACCTATAACAATAATTTTCATTATTTACTTATCTCCTAATATTATTCCTAATGCTGCTTGGTCTGAGACCAGTGCATAGCACAAAAAATTATACCCAAAACCCCAAATGACAGGAAACAGTGACTTAGATGCTGTGGGGACTGACTGATTACTGTCATAGTACAGTACCAGTAACAATGTCAGAGTAACAGTAACAACTTACAAACTGGGGATTAATTCCTCCCAATAAGAGAGTGGGTTTCGTGAGGACCTTGAAGCCATCTCCAGCATTCAATTCCATCTTAAAACAAGCATTGACGTATGCATGTGCATTGACAGCCCTCGGTGTGATCTTGAAGGTCCGTAGCTGAAATAAAGTTACCATAATTTTATATGTATGTATATACTGATATATTGCTTTTATTATTATTTTATATGTATTGTAATCGATGTAATTTTATGTATATATACTATATGTATTTAATTGCTGCCAAAAGTAGAGATCTTTGAAATAGATATCTTTGAAGTAGAGATCTAAGAAGTACAGTAGACTGTTGATTAACATGGTAGTTATGCTCCTGAAAATTGTATGCATGACAAAAATTGTGTGAAAGAAACTGAAGAATGTATGGGAAAAATAGGGTTAGGTACCTTGTACCCCAAAAATGTATGTATATGTGTGTGTGTGTGTGTGTGTGTGTGTGTGTGTGTGTGTGTGTGTGTGTGTGTGTGTGTGTGTGTGTGTGTGTGTGTGTGTGTGTGTGTGTGTGTGTGTGTGTGTGTCTCAAAAATCAATATTTGCACCAATAACTCACTACAGTTGTGACCGGGTGTGGAAGTGTGAATTGCTCATTACTCTAAAATTTGTTCATGATTGTAGCCATGTATAAATGCAAGTAACCATTCTTACAGCATTCATTACCTTTGTAACTTGTGAGTTCATTACCTTGTACCTAGTTCAGCCATCAAAACTTTGGGGCCCAGTCCCTGGACCCATTGTGTACCTCTATAATCTGTTAATACCTTTGTAACTTGTCATGATTGTGACTAGACCTACCTGGAGTTCATTACCTTCGTAAATTGTGAATTCATTACCTCTGTAACTTGCTCAGCCATCAAAACTTTGAGGCCCAGTCCCTGGACCCATTATGTACCTCTGTAATCTTTTGACTACCGCCCACAGGATGGGTATGTGGTGCATAATAAACATATTAAACTTAACTAGGTCTCCAAATCTTACAAAAATAAAAATAATGTAATTGTTGTTCATTGTTGTGATGCATTATGTTTAACCCTTTGACTGTTTACGCCGTATATATACGTCTTACGCGGCACTGTTTCTGATGTATTTATACGCATAAATTCTAGCGGCTTCAAATCAAGCAGGAGAAAGCTAGTAGGCCCACATGTGAGAGAATGGGTCTCCATGGTCAGTGTGCACCATACAAAAAAAATTGGGGAGCCAGTGGTGCATTGTGGGAATGCCATTTCAGTTGTCCTTTTTCAGCATGTCTAGTGGTAAGAAATATGTGATTCCCCAGCAAATCTGGGACTCTTCTCTTCCCAAGTGATGCTCTAACACAGATGGAAGTGTCAGTGAAGATCAATTTCATGATTTGGAGGAGTTTGAGACCAAAAGCAATGGAGGAGGAGGAGGAAGGGAGGAAGAGGAGGAGGGAGGAGGAAGAGGAGGAAGAAGAGGAAGAGGAGGAGAAGAGGAGGAGGAAGAGGAGGAATAGGAAAAGGAGAAGAGGAGGAAGAGGAGAGGAAGAGGAGGAGAAGGAGGAAGAAGATGTAATAATATTGTTCCCTTGAAGCAAGAAAAAAAAAAGTCCACCCCATGACAGTGACAAGATAAGAGGAAATAACATCTGATAAGAGCTGACTTTGATGAGCGTAAACAAGGGTGGAGCTGATAAGGAAAGATTAGATGACCATTGCCCTCCCTTTGTTTTTGCTGGTACACAAACATTTCTGTCTGTCTATTTGTCTGTCTGTCAAGCTCCCTGTCTGTCCATCTAGCTCTCTGTCTCAGAGCCACAAGACTGTGTCATCACGTTTACTCACATCTTCAAGCAGAGTATAGCACTTTGGATTTCTTGGGTTATCCTAGGTAATTTACACCATGTATACTTGTATTTATGTGTATCTGTGAGACAGAGATAGACAGACAGATAGAAAGAGACCGATTGAAAGAGAACGAGGGAGAAAGATAATTAGATAGAATGGAGGGGAAGCAGCATCCGACCCCATTGTTTTGACAGGCGGGAGGGGGAGTGAGTAATGAGACAATATGTCATTTTGACAGCTGCCGAATCCTGACTAAAAAACAATTATAAGCCACACACTCGCACACAAGACAAGGAGGAGGAGGAGGAGAAGGAAAAGGAGAAGAAGAGGAGAAGAAGGAGGAGGAGGAGGAGGAGAAGAAGGAGGAGAAGAAGGAGGAGGAGGAGGAGGAGAAGAAGGAGGAGAAGAAGAAGAAGGAGGAGAAGAAGAAGAAGGAGGAGAAGAAGAAGAAGGAGGAGAAGAAGAAGAAGGAGGAGAAGAAGAAGAGGAGGAGAAGAAGAAGAAGGAGGAGAAGAAGAAGAAGGAGGAGAAGAAGAAGAGGAGGAGAAGAAGAAGAAGGAGAAGAAGAAGAAGAAGGAGAAGAAGAAAGAAGGAGAAGAAGAAGAAGAAGAAGTAGTAGAAGTAGAAGTAGATTTTTATTATTATTATAATCAAGGGGGAAGCGCTAAACCCGGAAGATTATACAGCGCCTGGGGGGGGGGGATGTGGAAGGCATTCAGGCTTAATTCGGGGAACTGGAGCACAGATCCAATTCCCTAAATCAAGAGCCCCTCACCAACATCAAGGAACCTTCCTTGAGGGGGTAGAAGTAGAAGAAGTAAAAGTTGAAGAAGTAGAAGAAGAAGTAGAAGTAGTAGTAGTATGTTCCCTTGAGGCATGAAAACAGTCCACTCCATGACAGTGACAAGATAAGGGGAGATAACATCTGATAAGAGCTGACTTTGATGAACGTAAACGAGGGTGGAGCTGATAAGGAAAGATTAGATGACCATCGCCCTCCCTTTGTTTTTGCTGGTACACAAACATTTCTGTCTGTCTATTTGTCTGTGTCAAGCTCCCTGTCTATCGGTCTAGCTCTGTCTCAGAAAGAGCCACAAGACTGCGTCATCAGGAAGGTAGGAAGGAAGGAATGATGACACACGACCATTTACCTAGGATAACTACATAACACAACTGCCTGCTAATACTTCGCAGAAAACTGCTCAGACAAGGTGTTTTGTCTTTGCACATAAAGGAAGTCCACAAAAATGCACACACACTGGTTTTATGTGTGAGGAGTGTAAAACACCACTGTGTATGAAAACATGTTTCAAAGAGTTCCACAAGCTGCAGAACTTCTAAGAATATGTTCGGTGACTATACATTGGTATATATATTATAGAACAATAGTAATAAACAATTTTTTGTATTGTTTGTTTTTGTAAACAAGTTTTGTAAACAATATATTGATAATTATGTTTGTGTGCTTATTGTGTTGTATACAACGAGTGTATATATGTACATTGCACCTTACTTTGGTCTCATAGGCCACACAAGTTATGTGAAAAAATAAAATAGTGAAAAAAAAAACAAAAAATCTTCAAATACAAGTAAACTAAAGTTTACCGGGTGAGTGGCAGTCGCTGCTGTTGCCGTACGCGGCTCATTTTCTTCAAACTTCACGGCTCTATCTCGGTAAGTACTGATGGCATTTTTTTTTTTTTGGACTAAAACACTCAGAAAAATAATCTTAACATTTTCATAAGAAAAAATAATTTTTTTTTTTCGAATATTTGGCGACATAGAATGACAGTTTCATAGAGGGGCCTGAAACAGTCAAAGGGTTAATGCATTGCTTAGAGGTACAAATGCTACAGAAATAATATTTCCTACCTTAAACCGTGGTTGCTGGTGTTTGTGGATGATTGTGAAGAGAGTGGAGAGGGATGCTTTAGCCCTACTGAGCTGAAGTGGATGGTTGAGGTTCTGGTACTAAAGTTGATATTTTTACTGGTGTATGGACAAATTTTATAATGCATCTCTGGTCTGTAATACATTATACAGCTGATGGTAAGGCATCATCAGCTGCTCTAGACTCCATTTCAGAGCAGTATTCCTAGATTTGCCAGGGTCTTCACTGAAAGTCTACTAGTTTAGCAGCAACATGCAGTTGTTCATGTAACTGTTGCATTGTTAATTGTAAGAAAAAATATTTATTACTCTTAACCTGTCTAGACTTGAGTAGTCTTAAGTATTAGGATTAGTCTGCCCGAAATTTAAGTATTAGGATTAGTCTGCCCGAAATTTAAGTATTAGGATTAGTCTGCCCGAAATTTAATTATTAGGATTAGTCTGCCCGAAATTTAATTATTAGGATTAGTCTGCCCGAAATTTAAGTGTATTAGGATTAGTCTGCCCGAAATTTAAGTGTATTAGGATTAGTCTGCCCAAAATTTAAGTATTAGGATTAGTCTGCCCGAAATTTAATTATTAGGATTAGTCTGCCCGAAATTTAAGTGTATTAGGATTAGTCTGCCCGAAATTTAATTATTAGGATTAGTCTGCCCGAAATTTAAGTGTATTAGGATTAGTCTGCCCGAAATGCCCCGGCATGAGAAGTGGCTTTCTTTTTATCTAAAATCAAAACTATAATTATACATTGTAACCTTTGTAAAGAAATAAATCTTTGTCAGGTTCTTCATCTTCCTCTGTTATCTTCCTCTGTTATCTTCCTCTGTTATCTTCCTGTTATCTTCCTCTGTTATCTTCCTCTGTTATCTTCCTCTGTTTTCTTCCTCTGTTATCTTCCTCTGTTATCTTCCTCTGTTATCTTCCTCTGTTATCTTCCTCTGTTATCTTCCTCTGTTATCTTCCTCTGTTATTTCCTTCTGTTATCTTCCTCTGTTATCTTCCTCTGTTATCTTCCTCTGTTATCTTCCTCTGTTATCTTCCTCTGTTATCTTCCTCTGTTATCTTCCTCTGTTATCTTCCTCTGTTATCTTCCTCTGTTATCTTCCTCTGTTATCTGTGCATTAAGCTCTGCCAACATTTCCTCTGGACTTGTCTTCATCATCTTCTAAGAGATCATTCACATCTTCCTTCACATCTTCAAAGCCATCACCTGGTAATAATCTTGCCAGCTGAACTATTTCCTGCACCTGACTCGTGTAAGGGAAAAACCAGTGAAAGAATTCACTACACTTCATCATAACTTTCCCCAGGCTGCATTTAATGTTGACTGTGACAGTTCCTTCCATGCACTTCTAGCACAGCTGATATATCCAATGTTAAAATTATTCAAATGTTTGGTACTGCCAGGTGGTAGTGTCCAGTGATGCAACTAGTTTTTTCATCACTTGTGTGTTTACCTGGAGAGAGTTCCGGGGGTCAACGCCCCCGCGGCCCGGTCTGTGATCAGGCCTCCTGGTGGATCAGAGCCTGATCAACCAGGCTGTTGCTGCTGGCTGCACGCAAACCAACGTACGAGCCACAGCCCGGCTGGTCAGGAACCGACTTTATGTGCTTGTCCAGTGCCAGCTTGAAGACTGCAGGGGTCTGTTGAAATCCCCTTATGTATGCTGGGAGGCAGTTGAACAGTCTCGGGCCCCTGACACTTATTGTATGGTCTCTTAACGTGCTAGTGACACCCCTGCTTTTCATTGGGGGGGATGTTGCATCGTCTGCCAAGTCTTTTGCTTTCGTAGTGAGTGATTTTCGTGTGCAAGTTCGGTGTAGTTAAACTTAAATGATCTAATAACTACACTATCCAGTGGTTGTACTAAAGATGTATTTGGAGATGAAAATACAATTTTTACATGTGGGTTAACATCCAACAAGTACGGGAATTATCAAGAGAAGAGAACCTTGACAAGATTCTTGCTGGAGAGGTACGTTTTAATTGTCTTTTAGGGTTGGTCTAGTAATTTGCCAGGTAGCACAGAAGGTAAAATATACAGCCATAGACTAGCTTCTTTATTGGAGTAATGGAGTTCACAATGGGCAGTGTGAGGTGTGCCGAAGCCAGTCCAGGAGGGGAGCTGTTCACAAGTACGCCACAGGTCAAGGAGAGGCACCTGCCCTCTGGCAGGGACTTAGGGAACTAGGCCCACAACAACTCGCTCCAGTGGGAAGTATGAGAACTAGCAAGTAGGCTTACTGTCTACAGGCAAAACTTGACTTCAGGAATAAAGTAATGCTTAAAGCAGTCAATAAATAATTCTTGTCATCCATGCTGACGGGTGTAACCTCCGAATTATGTACTGGTATGGCATACCTGGAGTATGCTTGGAGAGGGTTTCATGTGTCAATGCCCCCTGACTCTGAGACCAGGCCTCACAGTGGATCAGGGTCTGATCAACCAGGCTGTTACTTTTGGCCACATGCAAACCGATGTACAAACCACAGACTGGCTGGTCAGGTACTGACTTTAGGTGCCTATCCAGCACCTTTTTGAAGACAGACAGGGGTCTATTGGTAAGCCCCTTTATGTATGCTGTGAGGCAGTTGAACAGTCCTGGGCCCCTGACAATTTTTATGTTGTCTTAGTGTATATGTGGTGCCCCTGCTTTTCATTGGGGGAATGTTGCATCTCCCACTGAATCTTTTGCTTTTGTAGGGAGTGATTTTTGTGTGCAAGTTTAGTACTAATCCCTCTAGGATTTTCCGAGTGTATATTATCATGTATCTTTCTTGCCTGCATTCCAGGGAATACAAATCAAGGGACTTCAACTAATTCCAGTAATTTCGGTGCTTGATCATACTTGTGTGCCATGAAAGTTCTCTGTACACTCCAGGTCAGTAATTTTGCCTGCCTGCAATGTTCCAGCCTAGAGAGAATAAGCGATTTGAAGAGAATCATCACGGGTTTGGCATCCCTAGTTCTGAAGGTTCTTATTATCCATCCTATAATTTTTCTGGCAGATGAGATAGATACATTGTAGTGGTTTTTGAAGGTGAGACCCTCGGACTATCACTCCCAGGTCCTTCACATTAATTTTTCACTCTGTGTGGTTAGAATTTGTTGTATACCCTGATACCATCTTAATTTCAGTGGCGCATTTGAAGATTTGACTGATGTTCGCTTGGAGTCTTGTGGTGTCTTTGATGGAGAACACTTATGGCTATTCGGGTGTCATCCGCAAAGGAAGACATGAAGCTATGGCTTACATCTCTGTTTATGTCAGATATGAGGATGCACAACAGGATGGGTGGCCCGGTGGTCTGGTGGCTAAAGCTCCCGCTTCACACACGGAGGGCCCGGGTTCGATTCCCGGCGGGTGGAAATTCCGACACGTTTCCTTACACCTATTGTCCTGTTCACCTAGCAGCAAATAGGTACCTGGGTGTTAGTCGACTGGTGTGGGTCGCATCCTGGGGGACAAGATTAAGGACCCCAATGGAAATAAGTTAGACAGTCCTCGATGACGCACTGACTTTCTTGGGTTATCCTGGGTGGCTAACCCTCCGGGGTTAAAAATCCGAACGAAGTCTTATCTCTTATCTTATCTTAAGTACTGTGCCTTGTGGAACAGGGCTTTTTCACCATAGTTGCCTCAGACTTTAATCTGTTTACTATTACTCTTTGTGTTCTATTTATTATGAAGTTATAGATCAAATCTACCAATTTTTTCTGTTATTCCTTTATCACGCATTTCGTGTACTATTATACCATGGTCATACTTGTCGAAGGCTTTCCTTTTGCAAAGTCTGTGTATACTACATCTGTATTTTATCCTCTAAAGCATCCAGGACCTTGTCATAATGGTCCAGTAGCTGGGACAGGCAGGAGTGACCTGCTCTAAACCTGTGTTGCCCTGGGTGGTTTTATAAGAACATAAGAACGAAGGAACACTGCAGAAGGCCCTCGGCCCATGCGAGGCAGGTCCAAGTCCCTACGGCTTAAGCAATGCACCAACCTAGTCAGGTCAGGTCACATTGACTTAAGGGAGGAACACGGCAACCGACATGGTAGCACAAGCTATCAGGTCCAACTCACCACCCACCACATCCACTCATGTATTTATCCAACCTATTTTTAAAGTTACACAACGTTCTGGCCTCTATAACTGTACTTGGGAGTTTGTTCCACTCATCCACAACTCTATTACCAAACCAGTACTTTCCTATATCCTTCTGAATCTGAATTTTTTCCAACTTGAAACCATTGCTGCGAGTCCTGTTTAGGCTAGATATTTTCAGCACACTATTTAAACATCCCCTTTATTTATTCCTGTCTTCCATTTATACCCCTCAATCTATCCCCCTAATTCTACGTCTTTTAGAGAGTGCAGATTCAGGGCTTCAGTCTATCCTCATAGGGAAGATTTCTGATACATGGGATCAATTTTGTCATCCTCTTTGTACATTTCCAGAGTATTTATATCCATTCTGTAATACAGTGACCAAAAACTGAGCAGCATAATCTAAATGGGCCTAACCAAGGATGTATAGAGTTGAAGAACAACTGAGGATCCTTTTATTTATGCTTCTTGATATGAAGCCAAGAATTCTATTAGCTTCATTGTGAACACTTATGCACTGTTGTCTTACACTTAAAAATCACTTGACGCATTACTGCAAAGAAGCAAGCTGAAGCAACCCTTTGCTACCTTGAATCCTGGAGCACTTTTCTCTTGCTGACTGATGCAAGTTTTGTTAACATCTTTGTGCACACTTGTCTCATCAGCATTAAACACTTTCCATGGCTCAGTCAAACCCTCACAAAAAATTTCCTGCAATTCAGCAGGGAAATTACTTGCTGCTGTGCGATCTGCTAAAGAACTTTTGCTAGAAAACTTATTATGATGTAACAAACTTGTGGAACCAGCCAGTGCTAAACACTTGTTTAGGCATTCCTCAGCCAGTTCGGGAAAGGGGACAAGGTACCTAATGAATGAAGCTACAAAAAGGGGAAGGGGGAGTGATTTCTTGTATAGCTAACATTCATGTACTGGTCCTCTCTTTAATTTTTAATGTAAATATCTTAGTTTACTTTCTTACTGTATAACTCTTTTTATTGTAACTGATTTTCACCAGTCAAGTTTCTTAGCCATTTTTAACTTTTAAGGTTTAAATACAATATTACAAGGACTCCAATGAAAATAAGTCACTGACTTTTACAGGTTATCCTGGTGGATAATTTACAGTATATGATAATTGTACTTATGTGTATGTGTGCCTAAATCGACTTACTTGCTTACATATTACTAGGCCTCCCAAAAAAGCAATGGGCTTTGACACACAGGCGGGCTCCCTGCGAGATCACCAGAGGGGGGGAAAAAAATCCCATAGTCCAACACGCAGAACTCCTAATTTATATCCCAGAAGTGGCACCGTGCTAGTCCAATTCCAAAGAGTGGTCATTGAAAGTATGCCACAATTTTGAAATAGTGTAGCAGAGAAAATGTGTTAGAGAAGTGCAAGTTAATAGACGGTCTATTGTAGGTATCTCTGAAGTAGACATTGTTGAACTCTCGGGGTTTAAAAATCCCAACTGATCTTACCTTATCTTAACCAGAATAAACAACATACAATTTTTCTAGTAATTGTACCGTTTTTTAAATTAACTCTCTGAGTGAATTTAATAATTGTAGTTAATTACAAAGGAAGTGATTAATATCAGAACTACAACATCCTCACTTCATCCTTCAGAGTACAGGCACTGTACTTCCCACCTCCAGACACTGAAGGAATCTACATCATGCAGTAGTCCACTACCTTGGTGTTTGCAGTTGCAGGTGGCAGAGAGATGGAAAGTATAACTTTCCTTGACATATCAGTCTTGAGGAACTGTTCCAGGTTCACATGAGTGATGGAAGCATCACTGGAGTTGCCATGGTTAGTTCAGCATCAGCAGCCAGCAAGGTGAGGAATATGTCTGACTGGAATCCAGGATGAGTGTGTTTCATCATCAGATTACCAGCCCAACAACCAGCCTGTTGGGAGAAGCAAGGTGTGATTAAAACAAGATAATTGGAACAGTTTTTTGTTTTTAACACACAAGAAGCGGCAGGTGACCCGAAAAAGAAGAAATGAAAAGTTATTTTTTTATGTTTAGTAATTCATACAGTAGAAAGATGTTACTGGCACCTTGCTGCCAGCCAGTGGTGGCTCGTCCATAGGAGTGCATAGCTGCAGTCCCCCCAGATGCTCACTGCCAGACATACAACTTCATCAGCCTTGTGGTAAAATAATTTGCAACTGACAATTACAGGAAAGATCTCTTGTATGTTTTCAGTTTGGTGGCCATAAATGAATTGAAAGAAACCCCAAAGTATTTCTTCTCCTATGCCAAATCAAAATTGAGAACAACGTCCAGTATTGGGCCCTACTTAAACAAGATGGGTCCTACACAGAGACAGCAAGGAAATGAGTGAGCTACTCAAGTCCCAATATGACTCAGTTTTTTAGCAAGCCGCTAACCAGACAGAGTCGAAGATCAAAATAATTTTTTTACGAGAGCCACAGAATTTGGTTAACACAAGCCTATCTGATGTTATCCTGACGCCAAATGACTTGGACAGGCGATAAATGACATTCCCATGCACTCTGCCCCAGGGCCAGACTCATGGAACTCCATATTCATCAAGAACTGCAAGAAGCCCTATCATGAGGCTTTTACCATCCTATGGGGAGGGAGCATGGACACGGGGGTTGTCCCAGTTTACTAAAAACTACAGACATAGCCCCACTCCTCAAAGGTTTCAGTTAAAGCAATAGCAAAGAAACTACAGACCAATAGCACTAACATCCCATATCATAAAAATCTTTGAAAGGGCCCTAAGAAGCAAGATCACACCCACCTAAATTCAATTCAAAGTTTATTCTCTATAAGGATTACAATGCTGAGTTTACATGAATTGGTTATTGTGTGGTTTACATGTAGTAAAAAAATAATTAAAAAGTGTTCCACTAGAACACCATCAGAACACCACTAGATACCCATTTAGTTACACACCCAGGGCAACATGGGTTTAGAGCAGGTCGCTCCTGTCTGTCGCAACTACTGGATCACTACGGGCAAGGTCCCAGATGCAGTAGAAGATAAAATGAATGCAGATGTAATATGTACAGACTTTGCAAAAGCCTTCGAAAATGTGACCATGGCGTAATATGCACAAAATGCATGCTAAAGTAATAACAGGAAAAGTTGGTAGATGGATCTATTAAATTTTCCCCACAAACAGAACACAAAGAGTAGTAGTAACAGAGTAAAGTTGAGGCGGCTACGGTGAAATGCTCTTTCCAAAAAGGCACAGTACTCGCTCCCATCTTGTTTCTCATCCTCATATCTTTACAGACAAGGATGTCAGCCACAGCACTGTCTTCTTTTGCAGATGACACCCGAATCTGCATGACAGTGTCTTCCATTGAAGACACTGCAAAGGCTCCAGGGACATCAACCAAAACTTTCAGTGGGCTGCAGAAAACAGTATGAAGTTCAACGACGAGAAATTTCAATTATGTACTCCGATATGGTAAACACGAGGGAAATTAAAACTTCATCAGAGTACAAAACAAATTCCGGCCATAAAATAGAGCGAAAAACCAACGTTAAAGACCTGGGAGTGATCATGTCGGAGGAATCTCGCCTTCAAGGACCCAAACTTGTATCAATCACTCTGCTAGAAAAATGGCAGGATGAATAATGGAACTTCAAATAGGGGGTGCCAAGCACATGATGCACTCTCCAGGTCACTTGTTCTATTAGGCTGGAATATTGCTGCACACTAACAGCACCTTTCAAGGCAGGCAAAATTGCTGACCCAGAAAATGTTTCAGAGAACCTTCACGGCACGCATAACGGAGATAAAAACCTCAATTACTGGGAGCGCTTGAAGTTCCTGAACCTGTATCCCGGGGAATGCGGGCAGGAGATAATGATTAATACCCCTGGAAAAACCTGGGGGGAACTAGTACCAAACTTGCACAGAAAATCATCAAAAAAAAGAAAAAGACCGGCAGACGATGAAACCCAATGAAAAGCAGGGGGTGTCACCAGCACGTTAAAGGAAAATCAAAAGTGTCAGGGGCCGAGACTGTTCACCTGCCTCCCAGCTACGCAAGGGGGATTCCCAAAATCTGCACACAGAAATCACCCCTACGAAAGAAAAAAGACGGGCGGGTGATGCAAAATGCCTCCAATTTTAAAAGTAGGGGTGCCTTTTGGTACACAAGGAAAAACACAGTAAGTGTCCGGGGCCAAGACTGTTCAACAGCCCCCTCAAGATTGGGTAATTGCCAATAAGCCCTGGCTGCCTTCAAGAGGAGTGGAAGAACTTAAAGTCAGTCCCGGATCACCCGGGCTGTGGCCGTACGTTGGACTGTGTGCAGCCAGCAGTAAAGCTTATTTTGTCAGGCCCTGTCCATCGGGAGGCCTGGTTCATGGACCGGGCGCGGGGGTGTTGACCCCCGGGAAAATAACCTCCAGGAAACCCCCGGCTGTCTTCAAGCAGGCATGGACAAGACTAAAGCGGTACCTGCCCACCCGGGTGTGGCTCGTACATTGGATTGTGTGCAGCCGGGGCAGTAACCCCGGGTTTTATCAGGCTCTGATCCCAGGGGGCCCTGGTACGACCGGGCCGTGGGGCGTTGCCCCCCGGAACCCTTTTCCCGGGTAACCAGGTGGTGATAGTAGCGCAGTGTAGAGGAGGATCAGGAAGTCAGTCCCTCACCTTTAAACAAAAATTAAAAAATTTCCCTTAAAAGTAATAAAAAAAATTACATCCAAATTCCAGCAGAACTACGGGGCCCTTTTGCATGTAAGTTAAATTTTAAAATGACCTTTTTCAGTTTGCTCAATAAAAAAATAATTCCAAAATATAACTCACGATCAAAAACAAGCGGGAACGCTGGGATTTGAAACCATAGAAGTGTTTTAAAGAGAGTCCAGGGGGTTAACACTGGCCTGTGGCTCAGGGTTCACCTCCCAGGGATTTTCAATCCTCCCCCACCCCAGGGTTTAAAATTTTAAATTTACTGTTCACTGTAATAGAGCTTTGCAGAGAGATGACTGAACCCATTTTTTACACAAACTTTTTTTCTACTTACAGCATTATCTACAGTAACAGAACGAAGTAGAAATTGTCTACTAGTAACGTACTTTCCTGATGATACATTAGCCCCACCCCCCGGGTCAGCCGGGTTTTAAAGGGTTTAAGTAACGGGCCCTAGTCGCCAGGTGCTGGAATATTCTATCGTTGGTCAGACTGACGTTGGCCCCAGTTAAAGGGGTGATGGTTGTTCACGGTACGTTCCTTGACGCCACTGGTTGTATGTACAGTGTGGTCCGTATTCTTGAACACACCTGCAGTGGGGGTTCAAAATGAACAGTGAGTCAGTCCCATGCTGGAAAAATTTAAGTCACACTATAAATGGCTCATCACTGTACCTAGACTTCTATATTTGTACAATATTAATACAAGTGTAACCACGTCCTTACAGTGAAAATACCACTTTTTTAAACAGTGTTACTACCACTGTCCCCTTGTCCGTGTTCCCAACACTACCCTGAACTTCTCGTTCCTCCCAGTGTCTGAAAAAGCATTGTAGATCCCCTGGAAACAATGAAAAACAACTTTTATTGTTTAGGAGAGCTATTGTGCATGCTTTGTAGGTACTCCCATGCTACATCAATTTTGCACCCCCAAAAAACCACCTTTATTTTCCAAAATATATTAAACCCCCCACCCCCCAACTAACCAGTTTAATAAATCAAAAAAAACATGTTTCAATTAGTTCATATGAGATTAATTGTGCAGCTAACGCGCC